TTCCAATTCTCTCCCCCATCCCGCCAGGGGGGAGGGGGAAGAGTGAGCGAGTGGCTGTGTGGTGCTCAGTTGCCGGCTGAGGTTAAACCACGACAACCAGATAGTCCATTTGCTGGAACAGTTATTAAACTACAGAACTTCCCTAGCACACATGCAAATGAAAGCCTGGGGCTTTACATCAATGGCCACTGTATGGGACACGAAGCGCTGTGCTGCACCCTGGCCTTTGTGCATTTCACACCACAGCTAACGTTTGTTACCCAAGATCGCTTCTGCTTAACTTGTCTCAGATTTGATCTGAAGGACATATTTGGAATTATCACAATGTCTACTGCCTCTTGCCCAACTAGACACAGTTCTCAGGTTTTTTGAATAGTATCAAATGCTACAAGATAAAGAGATGAGAGACGAGATTTAAGTATTTTAAGGTACTTTTATTTAATAAATAACTTCAGTAATAGCACTGTAAAAAGTGAACATCTGTTAAAATAAAAAGGCACTTAAAACAAGAATATGACTATGATGCAGATTGAATGGTCAAAGGCAAATATACATGGCACATGTCAAGAATGATGTGTGACTCATGTCACATGACAAACTACGCAATCTTAGCTACAGGGTGAAGGCAAATTTACAGCTAAGACTGCCCGAAAAAAAGGAAAAAAAAAAGCTTGTGTTGATACAAAAATATTACAGAAAGAATCGCAACCAAATACGTTAAAAAGATTAGAAGGGTGACAAAGCACCAGGCTTTAAACCAAGGAAACATTACAGAATAAAGACACGGTATGACGTAAGGCCCTTATGTGTTTTGAGGAAGTCTTGGTAAGGTACTTCATGATACTGCCACCCAGGGCTTGAATTCACAAAGAAAAACTAAGCAAGTTACCAGTCAGCAACTTTTTCAGTAATGGCACGTGTTTTAAAGCTATTTTTTCCTTCTTAACATTCTTCTCAAACCCTTTCATTTTAACCACAACCTGGCAATAAGCAACTTAAAAATTACAAGTAAGTATGCACGCACTTTTCAGTCTTTTACACTGCTCGCTTCCAACTTACTCAACTTACCATATACTTAATCACATATCTAGCAAGTAGAAGACCAATTAACCACCAGCTCCATGCTACATGAGTTTAATTATATCTGCAAACTCAAGCCCTGATTTCCCTGTAAAGCTAAAAAGTTTAATACTAAATGGCTAGGCAGAGCCCTCATGCTGATCGCTTCAACCATGTCCCTCCCGGTCACGCCACAGCAGTATCGCACCCTGCAGAAGACCTGGATTCACAGCACGGGCGTGGAGAAGGTCAAAAAAGGCACCATGTGACCTTAGCTGATGAGGCTACACAGTCTCAAGTTTTTTTGTCAGACCCCTGGCACTGATTACTTTTATTTGCAAAAAAAAAAAAAAAATTACATATGGTACATTTTCAAAACCTGCACAGGAAAACAAACCTATATGTAATGAATTAGTAAAATCACTGCAGTTTGCCCTAAAACTATCTTACTGTGACTACAAAAATTGCTATGCTGCATACAGTGTTGTGGAGTTATACAAGCAGTGTTCATTTTCCCTCATATTTAGGATTGACCACAGTTGTCACTGCACTCTTGTAAATAGGATTTTCACCCTAGAAAAAGAAAAATATTTGTATTAACATTTAAAGAGATGAAAAGAGCACTGTGTTTGCAAGAAGTGTAAAAATTAGCCTAAGAAATTAGCTTAAGAAATTACCCATTAATGTTTTGTTTGTACACACAAACAGCTTAAGTCAAACTAGTTTTCTCTCTAGCAACTTGAACAAAAGCATGCTCAGCTAATAAAGCAAAGGGTTAGGGCACGGTCCTGTTCAGTTTACACCACAGATTTCCTTCAAAGCTGCTGAACCTCGTACGGTCACCTCGAGGCCGAGCCATCAACTCGGGGGTCTGCAGCCCATGATGTTTTGTAAAGAAGAACAGAATTGTAAACAACATTGTTTGAAACCGTGACTGACCACAGACCACATCCTGCTATAATAAACATTTAAATAGCTTATCTTGTATTATAATTTAATTCTAGAAACAACGTGGAAAGGCTTGTACTATTTTGATAACACACATTCAGCATACACATATTGAACATTTAGTACTCGTCATTCTCATTTTATTCCTACAGGTCCCTCAACCCCCATAGGCACAAAATGCACGGTTAAAACTAAGAAACTTCTGTACTTGTGCAAATGCTGTAATAAAAACATTATTACTACTGATATGAGAAATGCCTACAAGAACAACCGCTTACATCTCTCTTGCCGAGATTTGAAAACCTCCAAATTAAGCTTATTTTAAGCTTCCTTTGTTCCCAGGTTTCCTCTTATCTCAGTAAATCTTACTCCATTTATAGCGTCCTTGCACACCTAAGATGAACAGCTTGAACTCAATATTAATAGATAAATCTTAGCAGAAGTAAGGGCTACCGCTGGGACTCTACTGACACAGCCCGGATCTGCAGTACTCTGCTCTTATCGCAACTGAACTTCAACCTAAGCAAATGTCATTTACCAGTATGAAGCTCTTCCGTGCGTACACAAATAATTCCCGAGGAAATTCAGTACAGTGCAGATGTTAGCCTGAGTGCAGTTCTGGCCAGAATCGTATCTGGCCTTCATCAGCAGTAAGGGAATCTCCCTCCCTTTGAAGTTCCCCCAGTCGGAGATGGCCTATATAACCATACTAATTCGATTCTACTCTATTAAATTACACAGCACTTAAAATATTTCAGGTTAAAACAATTTTTCCTACAGTCAATTAAAGGAAATCCTCCCCCTAGACACACAAACGCCAGGTGTGTCTGTTTTTCAGGGTCATAAACCTGGAAAAATCAACTGGGAATACCACAGGATGTGCCAAAAGGTGACAAGGCAAGCAAGAAACCAACTTGGTGTGAAATTTTCATATTACGATTCCTGGAAAGTTTGTTGCCTTCTATTTGCAAGACATGGTATGGGGCAAGTAACTGGTCTACCCCAACCGCAGCAGCTGCTGCTAAGGAAGGCCATTTAGCTGGTGTACTGCCTATTGCCTTTCCGTCACGGTTCCTTGCACAGAAAAAGGGTGTTTCTCCTTAAAGCTGGCCTCTCTACACGCAAAGAGCAACGAGGCACATCCAATCCCACCTAGACCTGAGAGACTCCAGCCTGGTCTCTCAAGTCCAGCCCAGAACCCAGATTGCTGGACAACGGAAGTCAAGGTTTTCTGTTCACTCTTATCAAGATCTGAGTCAGTGTCATCTGGCTTGAGGTGAACGAGGAACTAGGTGTCCAGCGCTGGCTATACTTTACAAACACACAGTAAGAGCAAATGACCCTTCTATCAGTTCCCAGGCCAGCTCTGTCTTGATTAAATCAAGTATATCAGCTACTGGTTTGGAAAGGAATGGGGAGGGTTGCCTTTTTTTTTTTTTTTTAAATCTGGCAAAAAAAGTTTTGGGGTCAGTTCTCCGCCCGACAAATCAATCAATGCAACATTACCCCCCCCCCCCAATATTTTTAATAAAAAGCTTTGCAACGGTAAGATGTAAATGGAACTGGAAAAACATCCAGGGATAAGGGATTTAATCTGTAACTGAAGCATCTCATTATGCCTCAAAGTTCTTGGCAACGTACATTGTTTCTTTCCTAGACAAGCTGTAATGGAGAATTCTTAAAAATATAAATCAGTAAAGTTTATAATGCAGAGAAAGTCTGTAAGCTTAATAGGCTGTATCATATGCAGACTAGAAGATACTGCACCGCTTTTCAAGGGCAAGGCATTATGTAATACTTGTTACACTGTGTTTGTAACCTTCAACATTTTGCAAAACAGGCTACTCCCAGCATGTAAAGAAAGGTATGTGTTTGCATTTTCTCATTTGTAAGAGAGAGAGAACCTCTTTCAGATAGTGTAGGAATCAGTCTAAAGGTTAGGACTAAAACTTGGAAATTTGCAGGGTGCTGCTCATGCAACTATCTGAATTTGGAATCAGGTTTAAAATGCAATTTGCATAGTAAGATTGTAAATTTTTTACTATAATGCTTTTTCAAGAGAAATCAGAATTTGAAATTTACATGCTCTTTATTTAGCATAAGCCCTATTCACAAAAAAGTTGGAACGCTGTACTGTCTTCCCTTCTACTTGCATTTTAAGATCCCAGGAACTCTCAGAAGCACACAGTGGGATTTAGGTCACTGAATAAGGCACTTCACTAGGTGTCTCCCCACGTCAGTCGAGTGTCTCAGTTCCCAGTACAAATAATGGAGATTTAGTCAATACACAGAGAACTATTCAGCTTAACCCAACCTTACATTTGATCAGCTAAACAGCTCTTGAGGCTCTACTGCCTATAACAGCAACATAGGCGCCTGATGGATTTGCAAGTCCTTCCCTGCTATCTTCTGTTAAGACAGGCAGCGACAGCCCTGGCCTTTCCAGCCGTACTTGATCACCGTGTCCCAGCCCTGGCTCGGCGAGGTCTTCTACAGACAGCTTATCATTAAAACTAACATGGAGGTAGTAAATGAATGTCCACTAGTCCAACACGACTCTCACCGCGCTTAGGGCCCCTCACAGCTGGCACGTGGTACAGACTTTCAGAGATTAGCAGCATTCCAGATTTTTAACTGGCCACTACAACATGGTATTCCAAACTTGCCGTCCTGGACAAATACCGCTGTTTTTAAATAAACCCGTTTTCTTTACACCACTGCAGAGAATACACTGATTTAAGCATGCAAAGTTAGGGAAAACACTTTTGCCACATGCCCCTATAAATGAAAACACCATGCACACTTAAACCAAAATAAAAATCAACAAACAATAACTACATACAAGATCAAGTGAAATACATTAAAATAAAGAGGGAGGTATTTAAAAAAAGTACCTTCAGCAGAGAATAAAGAGCTACGTTCTTGCAACAGTACTCGTTTTCAACTAGACTGGGCTGTTCAGAGGATAACAGTTCAGTCTAGTGTTGCATAAAGATGAACCTATTATATAGGATGTTTGATTAACCTTCTTACTCCTTTTTTCTCCATGGACTTACTGTTTCAACACTTAAACTACCTTTATAGTGGGTTTAAGTCCTAAGCCACTGCAAGAAACTGCACTCCAGAATATTTAAATTCATCCACATACATTGTCCAAGAGCTGGTTCTTACTATTTTCAGCTCTCATTAATATCCACCATTACTTCACAACAATATAAAACAAGTCCTCTGTCAACCTGTAAATACGGCCATCTCATCAGAGTATGAAGCAAAGGCCACGGTTAAGGGCAATACAGACGACAGAGGGCGTCATCTATCATGGCTGGAAGACTAGAGGAAAGCAGCTAGCCTGCTATTAAGTAAATACTCTCTTAATGGCACAAATCTAAACCAGACAGGCAGCGAACACAGTAAGGCCCGACAGCGGTGAAAGGACACTAAGTCAGTAGCTATGCTGCAGGCCAAGGACAAACTGAACTCGGTTCAACCTAGCTGGCTTGAGCACCAACTGCAAGGATACTGTGGCGACAAGTCATTCACATCATCACGGACCAGGACTGCTGACGTATTTGGGCACCTGGTCCACAACAAGCTTAGTGGTGCTGCAGTTTACTCACTGCAGTAACCAACCCACATGTGTGTATGACCGCTGTGGAAGAGAGGAAGGGTCACACGAACTGCACACAGTTTATTTTATTGTATACATATACACCTGGAGGAAACCTACTGCAGTGTATTTTTCTTGTAATGGGATTTCAGGTGACTTTCTTGCCTTGGCAATACAAGACACCTCTTTCTTCACCTAAATGAAAAGTTACTTCAACAATCTAAAAACCCCAGAAAATCTTAGTTATGGGGAAAGGACAATTTTCTTCTTTTACTTCCTGTGGGTCACCTATTCTGCCAATACAGATCTCCTCCTTTTCGGTGGCCAATAAAGCTAAACCCACCTCCCTCTCTCCCCAAAGTTCTGATATTTCTATGATTACCAAAAAGGAGTCGTGTTTACAAAATCCATACTCTTTCATACTTTAAACTTCACAGTGAGTGAAACAAAAGGCCAGAAGTCAATCCCTGCATTTACACAGAGGAAAGCTTTCTGCAAGAAGTATGTTTTGAGGAGAAATGGCAGCACTGAAGACATTAGATCCTGAAAGAGTCATGGGGTAGAGAACAAGAGCACAGAATGGAAGTTACACACCGTATGGTTTGTTAGATGCTTGTCCTGCATGCAACAGAAAGTACACAATTAAGTGAATAGCAGAAGAGAAGGTAACAGAGACTTAACCAGATGGATTATGTGAAATGTTAGAAAGGAACAAGAACTCCATTTCCTCCCCAGAATAATCACCTCTGAGAACGAAAATGGAAAGGAGGTGAATGTGGTCGGTGTGGCAAGCAAAATGAACAGTTTAAAATCAATTTTGGACACACTGCAGAGTGAAATGATTGCAAAGAGAAAAGGAAAGTGTATTTCAGCAAGGAAGGGCTCAGAATGCTAGACAAAAGTATTTGAAATCGTTGTCACAGTGAGGACAGGTAAGAGCTTAAATACTCTTAATTCCTGCTTTCTCCCCTCGTTTTTCCTTTACAAAATCTTTTGAGTGCAACACTGAAAAAGGGAGACAGCAGACAGAATAAAATTAGAGATACAGATACTTCCCTTCCACTGGCTCCTGAAAAAAGCCCTTGGATACTTAAAGGGATGTGCTGCCTTCCTGACTTCTTCATTCCCCTCCCTCTGATCTGATCTCTACACTTCTTATCTCTGAATGCTCTTCTGACATCCATTCCCCATCTCATCCTCTCTTTCTCACTCCTTCCCCAGCAGCTGGGGATCCCAGGGAAGGAGGAGAACACCTAAACCATTCAAAAAAGTGCAACCTCAAAGTCTACAGAAGATATCCATCACTTCTGGTTTACTGACTTGCTCTTCTAGATACTGCTGTTTCTGAAGTCAGCATTTCCAAACAGAAATGAGGTGTTCAGGCAGAGTTTAGGAGGGACTAAAACTGGGGGAAAATGCATCTGGAGGGGACAAGAACATTTCCTTCTCTCCTACTAATGTTTTTTTTCCTGTGGAGGCCCCCAAGCTGGCTGGGCTACAAGGGCTGTGATTTTGCCAGTTTCAATAGAAACAGGGATGGAAAAAATAAGATGCATATTTAATTATCAAGTCAGTAGAGTATATGTATTTCATACTTTAAATACAGGCTAGTTCTATACTAGGTTAGCGGGGGGGCGGGGGGGCACGGCGGGTTGGGGAACTATCTGTAAGACTACTCTGAACGTTGCCAGAGTTATTCTAATAAAAACAGTGATATTTATAGGCTGGGATATCTGAGGAATATCTAAACTAGCTTTGCAAACATATCAACTTTAAGCAAACTGACTGCTGATTTGAGGAAACAGAAGACAAACCCTCCCCTGAACGCTGCGTCTCTCCACAATCCGAAGAGCTTCTTCAATTCTAACAGCTGTTCTATTATATATCCACATATTTATCTCCCCCACCCCTCCCAAATCACTTGTAAAATAGTTTAAGCCAGTACTGGTGGTATTAGTAAGTAAGCAATCTTGCTGTCAAAACAAGTTAAAAATTTTCAAGCTGCATTCTTTAAAACCCCAGAATCAAAGCAGCAGTAGATAAACTGAGCAAGACTCAAACTGTGATTAACTGACTGTGACACACAGTGAGTTTGAAGTGACATGCAAAGGAAAAAAAAAAGGCAAGAAAATGAAAGAAGATACAAACTGAGACTTAGAGACCAGCTTTACGTCCATAGTTTGGATTCTTGAAATTGTTAATAGGGCTCTTGTATATTGGATTTTCTTGCTGAAGTAAAAGAAATGGTCAGTGTCGAATAATTCAACAGGAAAAAAAGAAAAGTAACATTCTCAACTATCACCGAAAAAATCATGCTATATGTAGAGAAAAGTGTTAGTAATATTTTTTCCAGCATAGAATTAATTAATTTTCTTAAATAAAACCAAAAGACTTCCTAGGAGATCTTTTAAAAACTATTCTCTCATCAAGCATACGTTGACTTCTACAGAAATGTAGCGAAGGGTTTTTGATTAGCAGATTCCTAAAACTTCCCAGAGGCAGTGACCCTTCAGCCTATGTAAGCCTACAGACCATAGGCTTGGTTTTCTTGCATACGTTTCCGTGGACAATGGGTTGGGAAGATTTCAACAAACCAGTACCAGCCATGATTTTGTGACCAGTTATTGAAATCCCCCAACTAAACCTGTACGAGTATTTACAAGATCTCTTTCATAAGCATAAAATTTTCTTCTTCATTTTATACAAAAGTGACTCTCAGCTTCTAATAAACATTTTAATAATATGTTGTAAGGTGTGGTAGAACTGCAAAGCTGAACTATTCTGTCACCATCACGTTTTCTCTCTGAAATTTTATTTCGACTGAAGTTACTACTCGCTTTTCTAACCAAGAGGTACATCTCAAAGAAGGGTTTTTTTTTTAAAATTTTCTTCTTCATTTTATACAAAAGTGACTCTCAGCTTCTAATAAACATTTTAATAATATGTTGTAAGGTGTGGTAGAACTGCAAAGCTGAACTATTCTGTCACCATCACGTTTTCTCTCTGAAATTTTATTTCGACTGAAGTTACTACTCGCTTTTCTAACCAAGAGGTACATCTCAAAGAAGGGTTTTTTTTTGTTTAGGGGTTTTTTTTTTTTTTTCCTTTTTTCTGCTAGTGGTAACACATAACATGTTTTAAAGTTGGCTTAAAATAAGGATATTTCTGTTCCTCCATAGGCCAAAAGACAGGAATACAATCTGAAACATTTAAGGCACGTGAACAAAAACCTTCTATTCTTCCTCAAGTACTGTAGCTTTTATACAGATAAAAGCCTCTTGACTTACCGTATCCCACTTGGCATTCATCTTCTCCTTTTCAAATTTAGCAAATTCTCTTCTGTCATGAATGATCATTAGTAGTTTCCAAATCAGTAATAATGCAAGTCCAATAAGAACAATTCCAGCAACCACACCAGCTACAATGGGAATGATGTCAGGGCCGCTGGGGCATTCTAGGGAACAAAGCGAGGGAAGCATGATTTTACAAAATGGTAAAGGTAATGCATATCCAGATGCTTTTAAAATTTTATTTTGTACTGAAGCCAGTATTTTGAATATCAGAGATATGCCAGTACTATTTTCCTTTCAAATAATGGAAGTTTTGGAATGTGTACGTCCTGTAACATTCCAGCTTATTTTTATCCTTCTATTGCTAAGATTAAACACAAATTAGAACAATTCATGTTCTGATGATAAAGTCTACACACTGCTAACCCCTTAAGCTGTTCATCAGGAGCATTAGAGCAAAATAACTAACAATTGTACTTTAAACATGCAAGCTCCAAGTCAAAGGTGGTGCTGGAGGGATAAACCAGCTAGAGTACAAATGCAAATTAGCAAAACAATCCCCACATACTCTACCAACAGCATTACAGAAAAAGGGTGTTCCTCGTTTTACCTCAGGTGGCTGCTATTGTTAGTAGCTAATACATGGAGATAAGGAATAACCTTGCTTCTCAGACAGATTTTTTTTTTTTAGGATTTTTCCTCATCTTGGGAATTGATCTCTGCTGAAATAAAGTTTTTTAAAAAAAGGGCACATCTTTGGATAAAAATATCATGCACTTTCAAAATAAGTGAATTATGTGTTTGAAAAGAGTAATACAGATGCAAAATGATTTAAGGTGACTCACAATAATCCTCCAAAATAAAACCCGACTCTTTATTAATATAAAAGTCTCAATAATCACAAACTGAACAAGGGCTTTTGCAGAGCTCAATGCACAGACTGAAGGAGTCAGAAACAAATAAATGCAACTCCTGTGCTGTCAATAGGAACACTGCTTCCCTCCAAGCTGCAGATTCCTAATCTTGGTAGCTGCCTCTGCAGGAATGAGGGAAGTGGGAAGGGACACGGCAGGAATTCCTTGGGAACCAGTAAGGAACAAGTGTCTACTCCACCAAATACAGCTCTACTGAACAGAGCTTGTTCCTTCAGCACTCGTATGGCAGAAAATTAAGGTGCCTCCTGGTGCATAAAGGCTTGATTCAGCTCTTAACTAAGGCAACGGAAGTCTATCCACGAAGAAAAGGTCGGACCCCGAAAGTGTAGGGCATGTGTTGACTTGTCCTAAAAGACGACAGGGCTCAAGGTCCTCCTCTATACTTTGGACTACATTTTCAGAGAATTTAAAAACATTCTGAATTGAAGTGGTATTTATTTCTAAGAACCACTAACCACTGATCTGTATTAAGCGATGATCACCCAAATGATCAATTCTGAAAATTCCTTGAGTAGAATACAGCACTAAACCTTTCAACACAGAAGTAAGGTGTGTATTTTGTATCAGGCTTATAAAAATCAGGAGAAAACACACTGCTAATGTACAAAACCAGAATTTTTGCACTGTTAGATGCAACATCCAGTGATTCAAACTAACAATACTCTTAGTAAAGCAATGGTAAATTACGGATCGAGCTATGAAATTGTTCTCTCTTTTTTGTATCAGAAGATTGAACAAAATCAAGAACGGTTGACTTATGGATTAAACTAAGGAAAAGGCTTTTCAGCTCTATTCTTGAAGATACCTCATTAAGTAAAAACAAAGGCTCCCAGTATGAAATAATTTAAGCAGTTTGCAGCACAGTACACAATTAGGTGGTGATGGTTTTTTTGTGTAAGACTGGTCCCATATTATTAAGAAAAGGAAAAGAAAAAAGCAACAAAACCCCACAGACACCATTGTTTCTAACCTGTAGCACAAGCCTGGTAAAAAAAAAAATTACCAAATTTAGATATCTAGGACTTGCTACAGCATGGGTAAAACAAGCCTGGAAAGTATGTCAAGTGGAAACTTGAAATGCGTTAACAAATGTACATATCTGATTGACTTTTTGTTTTTAAAAAAACAAAACCTGTTTCTGCCAGCCTTAAAGGTTTGACAACCTAGATCTAGTGAGACTTACGTTTTTCTAAAGCCACGCAAGTTCCAGACATCCACAACTCTCACTTGGGTAATAGGTACCTATTTCCGAATGCATCTAACTCACGCAAATCAACTAGAACTACTTTGTAGTACACCGCAACTGCATGAATTAACAACAAAGATGAAGCGAGAGTAGGCAACACCATGTTCATACCTGGGGTCTCTACCACATGGACATTGGCATCACCATTTGAGTTGACAGAATATGTGAAGTAGAACCAGCAGTCATCAACATCCTTCTCTTTGCAATGAGACAATGGATCGGGCTGTCCGGGCTGTGGCAACTTGTCTCGACTTTCTACTCGTGTCATGTTGAAATGCATACATTCCTGAGAACATGTTTCCTTCTTTTCTCCCTTATCAAAAGCTCTACATTGAACGCAGTCCCTGTGGAAGTACAAATCAGAAGCAATGCTTTTTAATATGTTAATGGAAGATTTCTAGCATTTAATCTAAAGAAATGTAAAGGAGAAAATGTCAAAAAATCCCCCGAACAAAACCAACCCTTTTGCCATAAAGGCCAAGAAAAAATAAAGCAAGACACAGCTTTTTACCAGTCAGAACATTTATGTACTTTGTGATTAACAAAAGACCCCTTTAATAAATTCCTCTTTCCCTGGATGACCCACAAGCTTCAAGGACAGAAAAAAAAATTTACCTAAATCTGTAAAAGGAAATAAGGCTAAAACTTTTTCAACACCTCCATCTGGAAAACTAATACTCTCAGAGAAGGCAGTGAATATTTACAGTGAAACAGTATCTGAGAGATAGACAGGTTAAAAAGAATAAACTGAGTGACAAGCTTTACAGTAGGATATCACTCTGAATCACTGAAAAAAGCAGACTGAGCAGGATTTTTACACTAAAAAGACTGTGCTGACCTTAAGGTCAGCTGCACAAAGCCAAGAATCAGCTCAGCCATTAATCATAAACTTATTTCACAGTGCCCGTGCAGAAAATGCTTGGTTTCCAAAAACCTGGATTTCCAAAAGGCGGGGATGCAAATTTCATTGGCCCACACAAATCTAGGTTTAGTTTTCGACTGCCAGGACAGTTTGACTTTGTCAATAGTGTTTCAGAATAAAAGCTTTAAGCAAAAAGCTTAGCTGAAGTTTTAATTATTCTGGAAACTGCACAGTATACGTATACTTTTGTCACATTAATTTCAAAAGGTCAAGATGATGGGACTTTACAGCCTGTCACATTTTAGATCTATGTTCCCTCCAGCTGTGTAGAAGGTTGGCTGTCGATAATCATAAGCGAAACAGGGGAAAGCTGTAGCCTGCCCAAGTCAATCTGAATGGTTAAAACCGATTTAACATAACGTCCACATTTCTGTGCCTAACAAAAAATGGCAGGGAAAGAATTTAAGAAATAATTAGCCTACCTGTAAGCAATCAAAATACTGTATTAATAATGTTTTGTTTGTAATTATTGATTATTACCCAACAACTTTTACTGTCTGAAGGGATGATATGATACGATGTCCCTACATTTCAGGGTAGAACAAAGCACAGTATCAAAAGCCTCATTTTAAAAATTCTGCACATGTAAATATCACAAACTCAAATGCATAGAAGCTTGGACTTGGTGTTCTAGGTACTTACTTGTGCTCTGCACAGACACCGACGCAAGTCTGACACATTTCACATGTGGGGCCTTGGAATTTGGGATCTGTACAATTACAGGTCCCACATTCGCAGGTTCCTCTTCCATTGCAAATCTGCCCGTTAGATGCCATACATGGAAAAGTATCCAAAGAACAATCGCACGCGCTGCCAGTGAAGTTGGGGAAGCACTCGCACACTCTGCATTTGCAGATACCGTTTCCTGTGCATTGAAAAGATATTTCACTGAAATGGAGTCTAACATAAAACGTAAAATTTGTGACAGTAAGAAATAAGTGTTCACCATCTCAGGATAGATACAGGGAAAAGAAAACCCTGGTGTAGAGATAATAAAGACACTAATGAATTAAGAGCTACAAAATAAATTTTAGCTCCTTGAAAAACTTACAGGAGTTTTTCCCCTTTTCCCATTCTCCTACATTTGGATTTCCTTTCATAAACAAAATAACAGGACCAGGGAAAGCTGATCAAGAACAGTATAATGTGATGGCCATATCTCCTGGGTGAAGAGCATTACAGCACTACTTCAGTTCACAATTTTATATGTATCCAGATGCATTGATCTTGACTGTCTTCGTATCTATATATCTCTCTCTCTATATATATTCTATCATATATCTATATATGTAAATATATAAATATATAATGATATATAAATATATATAATATAAAATATATA